CCCCTAGCAGCGTCCTTGCTCCTAGTAGTAAGGCCAGGAGCCCCTAGTAGCGTCCTTGGCCAGGAGCCCCTAGTAGCGTCCTTGTTCCTAGTAGCGTCCTTGTTCCTAGTAGTGGGGCCAGGAGCCCCTAGTAGCGTCCTTGTTCCTAGTAGTAGGGCCAGGAGCCCCTAGTAGCGTCCTTGCTCCTATAGTAGTAAGGCCAGGCGCCCCTAGTAGCTTCTTGCTCCCAGTACTAAGGGCAGGAGCCCCTGTAGCGTCCTTGCTCCCAGTAGTAAGGCCAGGAGCCCCTAGTAGCTTCTTCTTCCTAGTAGTGAGGCCAGGAGCCCCTAGAAGCTTCTTGCTCCTAGTAGTAAGGCCAGGCGCCCCTAGTAGCGTCCTTTGCTCCTAGTAGTAAGGCCAGGAGCCCCTAGAAGCTTCTTGCTCCTAGTAGTAAGGCCAGGAGCCCCTAGTAGCGTCCTTGTTCCTAGTAGTAAGGCCAGGAGCCCCTAGTAGCGTCCTTGCTCCTAGTAGTAAGGCCAGGAGCCCCTAGTAGCTTCTTGTTCCTAGTAGCGATGCCAGGAGCCAGTAGCGTCCTTGCTCCTAGAAGCGATGCCCTTTGCTCCTAGTAGCGTCCTTGCTCCTACCAAAATCCTGTTCCAAACCTGGATGTGGGCTGCCACGTTAGTTTGCCGCGGGGTAAGTCAAACAAAAGCTCAGATAATGGTGCTACAATAGGTTCCTCGGGCAAGACGTGGAAGCTATCCACGAGCATGGGTGGTCAAGACTATCACCCTGGAGCCACCCTGTTTCCTCACTCCCGACGCATCGAAAATTAAACTTTGGTTGCCCTCGGCATCTATACCGGATGGACCTGGCCATTCCAAAGTTGGTTGTGAGCTAATGGTTGGTTCGTGCAAAGGGCATGAATCAGAAAACCCTGGTCAAACCCTCAAGTTCACCAAAATATCGACTGGTTTGATCTAGTAGATCTTGATTTTCCAGAGTCGGCTGATGGATGACCTCTCCCGCACACCAGAGTTTTCTTACAGCGGAGTTTGTGGATCTTGCTTTTAGCCGAATGGAATGTTGGACGAATTTGAGATATGATATGATATCAATTTACCCTAAAAATCTAGGAATCAAATCACTAATCATATAGTGCGAGCGCTATCCCTGCGTCCATATGTAGTAGTAGAGTCTAAGTAGCTCAGAGCGAACGAGTTTGTCCCTTTCTTACTTAATTATGTAGGCTCCTACTGCTTGGGGTTTACTCCCTTAATTAAGCAGGAGCAGGCTTTATAAATTATACATGGGAATGAAATCCATCACCAACCCTCCGCCTTCGGATCCCACGCGGTGATGCCATTGTGCAAGGTTGTGTGGAAGGCCCGGTGCTCGGCGGTCGCGTGGAAGGCCCGGTCGGTTTTGGGGACGGAGGGGGCATGAGTTCTGCCACCAACAGGACAGTAAGAGTCTGGAGGGTGTCCATCCATCTTCTGGCATTCCGGTCACATGTTCCCCAACATGTCTTCCGAATGTCTGGTGTATGAGCACGTACTGCTTGAAGCACCCTTGCTTTCAGGAATTGTCTCAAAAGCTGCTTGGTTATTTACGACCCGTGACAGGATAGATAAAGCTGGGTTCCTCAGCCATTGCAGTGTGCTTCCCCGCCATCAAGCTACTGTACGATCTGGGGCCTTTAGGGAGTAGTTGCTGAGAAGCCCCCTCTTTCTGCATCACCAACACAGGCCACGGGGATGCTCTGCAGGTCTCATCCATCAACCGTGTCGACCTGTGCCCAGCTATACTTACTTATATATATATAATTAATAATGACCCATCAAAACAAGGCACGTTGGCTTCCATAAGGTCAATCTCTGCGCCTCAAAAAATGTTGACAGCATCCCAAGAGGGGCAAGAAAAAGTGCGATGTCTGAAACCTGACTCTATTGAGAAAAGACTTGAAACCGCAAAATACAAAATACCATGTTGTGAAGATCAAGATCTGGTTGTTCCTTGGCCAACGGACTCCGCTCAGAACAATGGAAGACGGCAAGGAATCTCTCCCATGAGCTTTGCTCCTGGTAGCGTGCTTGTTCCTAGTAGTAAGGCCAGGAGCCCCTAGTAGCGTCCTCTTGCTTAGGCTTGCACATTTCAGGCCACAAACGCTCATGGCGTCACAGTAGTAGTCGTCGTCGCAGTCCCCAGCCTCATCAGAGTCCAGAAACCATCAACTGGACAAGCTAGTACCATGTGGAAGAGTCTGCCCAAACCCCGTGGCAGGTGGGAGAACCTAGTGGAAGGTGGGGTTCGCACCAGAGTGGCAATTCAGCAAAAAAAGATAATCAAAAGGACTTAGCAAGTCCCATTAAGTGTCCCTAAAAATCTAAGAACCAAATCGTTAGTGCGAGCGCTTCTTCAAGGAAGCTCCCCCCCGCCGCCTTTAGGGCAGCGGGGGAGCTTCCTTTTTGCTCTAAAGCCGTGACGTCGGAGTCTCGGGCAACCACCATGCGTTCCGCGATGGAGGTCACTGTTCCAACAAAGAACTCTCTACAGAAGATTGTCAGAAAAGCTCCCTTGGGGTAAGTCTTGCCACTATTTTTATTTCGCTTATCCAACAGCAGAGGAGCAACGACAAGTTTCTTTTGCTTGCAGTGGCAAACCCTGCACGAATAATGCACGCATATGCCTGTGGTGTGCTCAAAGTACCGACTGGCAGCTGAAATCTCCACCCTTGGGTGAAGGCATAGGCAGCAAGCTCAAACACTGAACAGGCAAACCCGTCACCTAACCTCCACTTCAATGAGGCACAAAACCGGAGAAAGGTACGGAAATTGGGAACTGACATATTATTCTTCTCCACGAATGGCGCCTCAGGATCAATTTCAACCTGCCATGTATACAAACTCGGGGAAATGTCCCATGGCCATTTGGGACATAGCTGACGGGCGGTAAACTGGACTACAGGTTCCGGTGCAACCTGCACATGATGCGAGGAAGAAACAACAGGCTTCTTGCAGACTCTATTAATCTTAGCCAGCCAAAGCTGACGAGCAAAAACATCCGTCTCTTTGTTCACAAGTTCGGCTTTGACAGCCCGAGCAGAATCACGAATATGCTGCTTGGCAAAATGATCAGCCAACCTGTTAAGAATGATGTCTTGCTTAGTCGATCCAGCTCGTTCCGCATCCTCCTCAGTAAGAGCATGAGCTGGTATATGCTCAAGCAAATGAGCGGGACACCAAATCAGCTGGAGAGGAGAGTCGGAAAGATGCTTCCGCTGGTGCAAAAGAGACTGCAGAAAGCTCCACCAGTTGGCATGCGTCCATTCAAGGTGCACCATATCGTCTAAGAGAAGTTCAGCAAACTGCTGGACGATAGTCAGCGAATCTGTGTGTACAATCACAGGCCGGTCCGTCTCAGCAAACGCCACTAGAATCGCCCATATATAATTCAGCACTGTAACTGGAGAGCCTCCAGCGCCGAACTGTTCCAACAGAGGCCAAAGTCTCGTCAGAGGTAACCGCGGCATATGAAGCAAGAGCCAACCACGGATATTGTGTCAACTGGACCGAACCATCAGTCCATAGGTGCATCACCGGTTCCAAAGGGCTCGTCCAGGGACAGACTCGGAGCTCCGCAGTACTTGAAACTGTCAGCTTGGCGCGGACTGCATCCAAAGGAATCTCAGCTACCCCTAACATGCGAAAACTGGGTCCCAGGAAGAAGGAGGACCCAGGTTGTCGCAAATCATGTGGTAAGGAAGAGCACTCATCAACGAAATGCTCCAAAGATTCTTTGGGCGCACCACAGAATCTGCAATTGGATTGATCAACCAGACCCGCCGCTGCTAGTCGGTCCGCTGTGAGGGTGCATCCTGTGATGGCACTTTCCCAATGAAAGAGAAAAGAAAACCCATCATTTGGCACGCCAGCAAGCTTTTTCTTGGCACAGAGAGTGATGTGCAAATCCCAAAAACCAACCGCAGTCGTGATGTCCTTCCGGGGCATAGAACAGGCGATGTTGTAACACTTGTTTGCAGCCAAACTTGTAAGGACACATTTCAAGTCAGCAACCGAGAAGTCCAAGAAACTCACCGGCTGAGATCCAAAAACAGAGAAAGGTGTGAATCCACTCGATCTCCAAGATATGGCAGGCTTGAGAAAATTGCGTCATCCATGCCTGTGCGGTGAATGTTGCAGAAAGCGTACAGACTCCACGATGGTATAAACAGCACGACACAGGAAGGGATCCAATTTGTGTGCCTTGTGTATAATACACAGAAGCAGGTGTTTGGACCTCCACTTCGGTCTGTCCTGCCAAAGCGCGTCGGCTACCGCACTCTGGAGCCGAGCAAGTAGCCGCTTGGGCACAACATTCAGCTGCGGCGCAAAGGCAATCTGTGGCAGCACCTTGGTAGAATTTGCGCACGCTTGTAACTGTCACACGGAAGAGCCCGGATGGCCTCGCAATCACGCAGAGCTGTTTGAATCTTGGATACCGGAAAATTCCCAGCATTTTTCTTGGTTGTTTGAACGAAAGCTCCCAAGATGTTGACCGTCTCCACAAGTTTCATTTGGGGAAAAGCTTGTTTCAAAGCTCGACGCAAAGGACCATTCGTGGCAAAAATCTCACACTTCCCCGCGTTGAGGAACTGTCCACACAACCCATCCCAAAGCTCTGTTGCTTTCACAGCTGCAACTAAGTGATCAATGGACGCAGATCTTGTCCACAAGTAAGTGTCGTCGATGAAAACGCGAAAATCAACACCATCAATATTGCAGACTATCCATGCCCAGATCGCGATGTGAAGGTTTATGCATAGCAAACTCAATGAACAGCCCTGCACCACGCCGTTTGGTGTGGAGATCGGCGTGGATCGAGTCCATTGTTTAAACGAAAGGAAACGAGTCATTCGCGTGTACAGACAAAGGAAGGCTCGAAAAAAGCCTGTTGGTAGTCCCAATGTGAGCATGATTGCAGCGCATAGTTTTGGCATCAACCGATCGAAACACTTTGACTTTTCAAGCTTCAAGGCTGCAAAGGAGCCCTGAAAACTATGTGCGTGATCGATCTCCAGCTGTATGGTCATGTGCACCTCAGACATCTGCCGATTCTTTATTCCACCTTTCAACTGAGGCGGCATCACCGTTTGCTGTCAGCTTTGCAGCTGCGTAAAGCGGAGGCCTGTGTACAACAGAGTAAAAATCGATTGTAGAGAAATCAGCCGCTTAGACAGAGGGGCATCGCTTCCATCTTTGTTCAAGATAATCATCCGCACTTGGGCGAGAATCTCAGGAAACTCAGCTGAACCTGCCTCGATGCCATTGAACAGGGCGGCCACTGGTCGGAAGGCAGCTGGAGGCAGGGCCTGAACTTCTCTCGTATGCCACCCATCCAAGCCCGCAGCAGCATCAGGCTTACGGTGCGCTGCTTGCTCCCACAATTGGAGTTCCGTGATCGGCGGCAGGGCCGTGGGGAGGCCTTTATCATGGATGTAGGGCCACACCTGCTTCAGGATCTGCATCTCGTGCTGGTGGCAAGCATTGACCGAAAAGACAGAATCCCATTTGTCCGCGATGATATCCATGGCAGCTTGGGGTTCAAAAACAATATTGCCAGCATCGTCCTCAACAAGATTCTGCGGAACCACCCGACCTTTCCGCTTCAAATATTGATAGACCACCTTACCAATTGTCAAGGATGTTGTGGCTCCTTTCATGGTATCGCGCCACTTCCGAATGGCAGCAAATTTCAAGTGCTTGAGCTCCACAGTAATTGCTTGCAGTGCGATTTCCGTCAAATGTGCTAAATCATGAGGAAAAAGCTGTTGAACAGATGACGGAATGAGCAGGGCCTCTTTCAGTCTACGTAGCAACCGCTGCATGGTATTCCGAAAAGTACGTTGGTCAGCTTCTCCAGTACAAGCACGGGCAAAACGAAAGGGGAGCTCTCTTAAAGATCTAAGGCATCCCTGAAGAAGCAGAAGATGTGGTGACGCCAAGTTTCCAGACCCTTCTTGAGGGGCAGCCAAATGGATCTTGCGAAATTTGGGAAGCTTCCCTCTAACTCTGGGCCCTTTGCCCCAAGACGCCCCATTCAGCAAAAGCACACGAACAGCAAAGTCGTTGAAAATGTCCCATTGCTGGTCAGAGGTGCCAGTGGATGCAAATTCTGACTCATAGCTTTGCCAAAGTTGCTCACACAGTGTATTGACTGGACAAGCTGGGTCAGAAACATCACCTTGCTGTACTTGGGATAAGTCCAGCGGAGCAAAACGCTGCAATACTGTACCCACTTGTTGGATCCTATCCCAGGCGAAGGTTGCCTGGACAGGCCTATGCTGCCGATCTTGATGGTCCAAAACCTCAATACGAAGCAGGGCTGTCAACGCTGTCCTGTTCATAAGGATGCCGTCAATGGATGACTGTCCTTCTCCATCAGCAGGGGCTGCATGCGGAAAGAAAGTGTTCGGACGGAACACCACCCCATTTTCGTCAGCTTGCAGGAGCGGATCTGCCCCATCCCCAGTGATCCAGTGCCAACTGCACAGACGGATACATTCCGGGCTCCATCTGAAAATCACCAGCAAGAATGATTGGAATATCTCCAAACTGAGCTGCCACACTGAAAATCTGGTTGAGTAACTCGTTGTTGCGTTCAAACTTGGACCTTTCGGGGGAGCTTCCTTGAAGAAGCGTGAGCTATCCTGCATCCAGTTGCTAGAAGCTTAAGTAGCTAGGAGCTTACTCCCTTGCTTGATTAAGTAGGCGTCTACTTAATTAAGTAGGAGCGGGCTAGAAAGACAAGGTCGTTCTGATTCCCAACAAGGACGTCTTGACTCATACCGACCCAAAAGCTGGGACTCTGGTGCCCACCTTAAGTGCAAACCCCCACACACAATCATCGGCGTGGAAAATACGTGTCCTGATCAAAGCCAATCTCATCCAAGGATGGCTTGGGGATATGTAGGTAGCACAATCTCATCCCCTGATCCAAAGCCTCATGAAGCCCGCAACTGAAAATGGAAATCCCCACAGCTTGACCCATTGGATAAGCGCATTGACCTGCAGGTGAGTTCCTGAATAAAATTCATTAGAATTCTACCTACCCAGACCTATGGCCATTGAATCAAGATGAAGTGTCTGGAACAAATAAACTCTGAAAATCTTCAAGCGACCAGCGAAACCCCGGGTACGCAGTGAAACACCGCTACGTGTTTCTACCAACTCAGTCGCAAGCAGGGTCTCTTGATTTTGCGGATGACCCACATGCTCAGATTCCCACCTTTGCAAAAATGAGGAAATGCTTTGTATGGCTACCGTTTACTTGCTCCTGCACAAACAACCCTATGCCTATGACCCTATGATGTCTCACCCCTGCAGATATCGTGTATCAGAGAGGAAGCTCGGCCCTGAGCCCTCGCACCGCTTCAGACTCCTTCATGGAGACCATGTACAGTGCAGCGTTGCAGCCACAGCCCACACCACTAAGGTCCACGGTGTAGCTCACACGCTTGTTCATGAAGTTCTCCTGCCCAAAAGGCCGGAACGACCCAAAAAAGGCACCAGGCATCAAAAGAAATGAAGCTGACAAGACCAAACAAAATAACTTGTGGTACTCCATCTACCTTCAACATCCTTTAACTACAAAGGTGCAAAAAGGTTCTCTCCCCAGCCTTTAGACGCAATTATTCCTTAGGGATTTATAAGCGTACGTGGCTCCATGATGCTCAGTCTGGTCGCAAAGACATTCAAACCGATTAAGCTACAAAGCAAGGCACCCCGCTTATCAGCTAGAGTCGAGTCATTAGTGTGTAGATGTTTTGGGTCGTTTGCTGGAGAGACCAAAGTGGCCTTTGTCAAGCTTACATCACCTGCCAAGTGCTTTGTGACTCAGATGCACAAAGCTCCAGTTCTCATGAGACAGATCTGCCTGCACTACAGCAAGATTTTTGCCAACTGGCTATACTTCCTACATTCACTTCAGCTATCCATTGTCCTCTGAAAACAACACACCTAAGACCTAAAGAGTGAATGTGCTACTAACAGTACTAACACTAATTATTGGCTCTATGAGTTCTGGTCAGTTCCAGCCTTGATTTCCAATCAACCAAACAAGTCCCAGTCCCATGCCTTCATGTACTCGGATTGGTCAAAGGCGCCCTCGGTGCAAGCATTCCCGAAATAGGCTCGGCTCTTCATCCCCAGCGTGACCTGGTCGGAATCCAAAGCGCCAGATGCACGCAGCTCCAAGAATCGGATTCAAAAACGAGAAAACCAGCTGATGACTGGTGTTGGTGAAGCGGCCCTTCGACCCTGCGACGCTGCGATGCTTGTTTTGGGGCCTGCCAGATGGTGAGCCATACAGGGCTAGATCTCTGCAAGTATGAAGGCAAGAGGCATCCACGTTTTCCGGTGCTTACCATTGCATTCGGTTGAGCAAGCTGTCAAGGACAAACAGTGGCCATCCAAGTGGCGGAGAGGCCATCGCCCACGATGTCCCGGCTGGCAGGGTCACCAGGCTTGTTCACGCTGGCGCTAATGAGGCTGAACTCCCCCAGGTTCGACACCTCCAAGGTGCCACTGCATTTGCCTCGGTTGGGCGATCCTTCAGGCCATATACCTGGACCGTTGTTGACAGGTCTTAGTTGACATCTTCCCGGGTCCCTCTGCAGGTAGCCTGAATCAGTCATTGTCCCCCATTCTGGGCCGGGCCTCCACTGGCTGACCAGAGTGCGGAAGTCTCTTTCTTAAAGAAGGAGCTCCCATGCCCACCGGACAGCCCAAGCAGCGCCAGCCTCAGCGTTTCAAAAAGATGGAGACGAAAACAGGTTTGGTAATGTAGTGAGAGAGACCCTGTCAGTATATGGGAATTTACTGAAGTCTGGCGTGATTCTCAGAGTTTGTAAGTGGACAGTACACTGCAACATGGCGGACATAGACCAAATCGAAAGCGTGGGAATCTCCTTGTCCGTTGGTGTAAAAACCGTTGAGTTGGACATCGCCTGATTGCACAAATGGTGCAGGGTCTTATTCACCCGTTGCAACTGCCGTTCCTGGGGTTCATTCACAGCGTCAGAATTATGAACCGGAGTGTTTCCCCTTTGAATGAGATGATCATCCTAGAATGGAATAGATCTTGCTTTTTGGATCCAATCTTCTTGTATATATAGCACTGTGGAATAGAGGTGACTCTGGGTTTCAAGGATCCTGAGCAGGACAGACCGTTTTGAAGCAGCTTGTGGCCATTAGAATGAGCCAGCTCGGTCAGAGGTGGACATCCAAGCCTTCTCAATCAGATTACAGTATATATATTTTTTTGTATCTAGGTTTCACTTCTTTTCCCAGCCACCTACGTGCTGGTCATTGACATATTGTAACCGCCAAGAGCAAGCCAGGCCACAAGCCCAGCAGTGCCGCTGCAGCTGCGACGCCCCGGCCGTGCCACATGTCGCGCCAGGTTGGAGACGGGGTGGGAATCAGCATCTCATCGGAGTCGCCTTAAAGTCGCGCCACGCACGTGCACACACACACAAGTTTGTGACGCACGTGTGTGCAAAGAGTCTTCTGCCAACTAGTCCATCTCCCGGGCTCGTTGCCAAGTATCCGGAAAAATTACACAAAGCTCTCTCCAGCCATTAGCCCTTGGGCCCCCCCTCGAAGGAAAGGACCTTCGGCAAAATTGCTCTCAGCCACCCCTGGAAAAGCTGTGAAAAATATAATAAACAGAATCTGTGGACTTCCCCAAGAGTCTTGACTTTTGAGCCGTACCTACATGTCATACTGTCTTTTCACGCCATCTTTTGAGCCTCATCATCCTCTCAAGCTAGCAGCACCAGCAATTTGTTTTCAGGAATAGACTCGACCCGAGCATGGTTAAAGGATTGGTAGACGGGCGCGTCTTAAAATGGGGAACCCGCTCAAACCATCAGGCTTAGATTAGTTGTTGGGTCTCATTGAACGCCCCAATTTGTTTTGCTCTACAACACCCATTGTGTTTTTGACAGCAACCGTGACTGAGAGGAAAAGAACAATAGAATCCGTCGAAAGCACTATATATATATATATATGTTGTTTTTTGTTGAAGCTTGTCAGGGACCTAAGCACAATCATGGCAATGAGTTCATTAGAGGAAAACGTCTATTGTATATAATGTATATATATACTTGTACAATAAAGGAAGGTTTGGATTGGCAAGACAGTTAAATGAAGGATGGGTTCAACCACGGCTGACAACTATTGTCAAAAAGATTGCTTTGGAAAGAAGCACTTGCAAATAATGTAGGATGATCATTTTCACAAAGGAGAGACCTTAGTGTAATCGAAAAGACGTTTTACCAAAGACGATATAGTGAAACTAAATAACACCCAATAGTGGATGAAGGATGCATCGATGAGTAGGTTTTTTGAAGGAGGATTGCACTTGTATTGCGAACACATACTAAATAAGGAGGTTTGGGAAAGGAAAAGACTTGGGACAGAAAGAGATCTATGAATGATGAAACCTTTTTGGTTTGGCAGAACACCCTTGTGCAGAGGGACATTTGTCTAAGGACAATATGCGAAGGAAAGACATTGAAAAAGGAAGACAAGGTTGGGACAGAGCAGGAGATGTTCTTGGAAGGGAAAAAGTCCAAGTAAAAGCATGCTGACAAAGAACAATATACCTAAGCTGCTTGCGCGAGTGTTCATGCTCGTTCTTCTGGGGTGGGTTGGACGTACCAAAGTAACAAAACCTACGCCTGTATATACCTGCGCCTGTATATACCTGAGAGGGGAGGGGACGAAAGCCAGCCTCTGGCTTAGGGGGTGCTCTCAGGGTAGGCTCGGGTAACGACGCGGCGTGCAAGAGGAAGTGATGGAGTACCATCGCGAAGTTGACATCGCAGCCACAGGGAGAGGGCGTAGAAATGGACAGTAGAAGATATAGGTCTGGGGGGGGGCGCCCTTTTCTGTTCTTGTTTAGGGTGAATTTTGAAATGAAAAAGGGCACCCCTCAGGAAGTGAGGCGCCTTTGCCGGCGGCGTGTTGCGAACCAGGGAGCAGAGACGGCGGCGGGGGCGCACGTGCGAGGCAAAGGGTGGGTAGGTGAGGAGGTCCCCGTATATAGACATCAGTGTGCAAGGTAGAGTGGAAAAAAAGCAGCAGGAAGTGGTGAGGTGGACATGGGAGCGACGTGCGGGTGGAAGATGAAGTGATAGGCTAACATTATGTAAAGAGTACGTGTATGGGGTGAAGTTGGCATCGCAGGCACCCGATAGGAGGTAGAAACCAGACGGTAGACGGTAGACGGTAGAAGTAAAAAGGGGGGTGCCCTTTTTCGTTCTGGTTGAGGAGTGCTTTGGAGATGAAAAAGGGCACCCCTCAAAATCCTCAAATCTATTTATATGAGCTTGCTTGCTGCGTGTTGCTAATCAGTGAGCAAAGACTGTTGTGGGAAGCCTATGGGCGAGGCTATCGGCAGGCTTTCGTGAGGATACATATATATGTATATAGGTAGAGTGGACAAAAAGGAGCCGGAAGTGGTGAAGTGGATATGGCCATCAATCGAGATAGAATGGAAATAGACAGTAGAATACATAGGTTTGGGACGGGGTGCCCTTTTGCGTCTTGATGTCGGACTGTCGTCCAAAAAGGTTTGGTATGGTGTGCTGGTCTATGTTTCAAGTGAGTTGGCGGCTGGCTTTCGTGCGTAGATACTCCCCATATGGGGTGCCCTTTTGAGTCCACCAACTAGACCTTGCTACGGATAAGAAAGGGCACCCCCAAGCAACTCAAAACCTTCCGCCTCCAACGCTTGCCCGCAACTGCAATCAGTTCTCTTTCGTGTTCTCAAGCATACGGTGACTTCTAACCAGCTTTTCACGTCCCCTTGTCTTCCCTTTCCTCTCATCGACGTGAACTCCCACCCCTAGTAAAAACAGTTTGCATGGCCTCCTGAGCCCCTCATGATCCTGGTGATGCACTACTCGCCGTCAATTACATCACCGGCATCACAACACCCAAGTGGCCCGCCTCTTTTTGTCGCTCTCCCCAACCAGGCTCTGGGTTTACCTCTCCGGAAGTGACCACCCACGCGACCACCCCCCCTTTACTCGCTACGTTCGCTCAAGAACCTCAAGCCCAGCCTATCGGCTGGCTTTCGTGACATTGATAAACAAATAGACAAAAGTGATCCCCAAAAACAGAGTATATAAAGTAATCAGATAAACCAGAAAAATGTTTCAGGGAAAATGTGTCAATCTCTAAAACAAAACAAACACAACAGCTTGAGGCTGGATTTTGTCTGAAACAGTGTTTTGGTGGTTATTTTGTGTTCTCTGTTCGGATGCTTGGCTTTACCACGACCATCTCCTATCTGCAGGAGTCTGGCCTTTGGAGTATTCATTGAAGAAAGAGTGTAAATCACTGTGTTTTGTTGGAGCAGTTGTTTCTTCTCTCCTTGCAACAGCAGCTCAAAACCCTGAAAAGACATCTCTAGAGCAGGCGTCCTGTTTTTTGAAAACACCCAGACCCACTCCTCATCCCTTACCGTTTTGGCCCACGAGGCTGTTGAGCTCCATGTTCACCAATGACCTTGCACCGGACAGCTCCATGGTGACACTCCGCGTCTTGTTGAACGCAGTCACTCGGAAAACAGGCTGTGATCGAACGACGCCTGGCCCTCAGAGCCATTCGGCTGCAGAAGAAACGGATGTGCGGGAAAAAGAAATAATCTTCCACTCATCACAGCCAGAAACCTTGCTGGCACCCACTGGGTCGTTCAGTGAGTCTCGGCCTTTAAGGTATACAAACCAACTAAGGCAATACAGTATAGGCGTGCGAAGCAGTCTCATAATACCCAAAACAACACCTCTGCTTTGTGGTCCACTTGTGTGGTTAAAGATGGCTTCCTGTCATAAAAGCGGGTTGCTGGAAGAGAGAAAGGAGTTGATGGCCCACCAACAAGGCTAGCATGGAAATTTCTGCTCACCATGAACCTCGGGCTTGGCACCCCGGCTGCTGAAGAGACGAGCAAGCCACCCAAGACGGGGGCCAGGCAGGCCAGCATCTGCAATACTAAACTAATTTAGGACATCGGCCAAGAAGATTATTGTGTGAAAGGTAGAGAGAATATCCAAAATCCAAACATATATCTCTATGCACTGCTAATGCATTGATGCAAAGAGTAATCAAGGGCTTTTCTTGCAGGGAACTCATGGGTGCCGCTCAGAAAAAGTGCATATACTCAAAATGCTAAATCATATTTTTGGTACCCCCCACAGCCTATTTTTCATTGAATCTCTCATGGTTGGGATGAAAATGGAAGGGTGCCCCACATAGAATCAGGAGGCATTGTCTTCTGATTCTATCGAGGGGTTTTTATCCAACAAAAAGCGGCAATGATATGTTTTTTTGGATTCAAGACTCGAGACTAAAACAGTCTCTGATTCCTCAATCTTTTACTTAGGAGTGTTTGCCACCACACCCAAGACTGGCTAAATGAACAAACCTGAGATGACCCACTTCATGTCATGCGTTGTGTATGTGTGATTTGATCAGTGCAACTTTCGGCCACGCCTACGCTGTGGCATTGTCTTGCAAAAATGTCAAAACTGGTCGAAACCATAAACCCGAATGCAAAACACCTTGTTTCTAGTTTTTGGACTTGAGATTCAAGAGTTGTAGTAGATGTCTATTTTTCTTGGGACTCTTGAACCTTGAATCAAACTATTGTTGAAGGCAAAATGTCCCAAGACAAGATCAAAGACTTAAATAAGGTTATACTGTATTATGTCTGGGATTCTTGGATATTGAAATTTAGGTGGCAAAGGCTCCGAAACAAATGCCAGCCCTCTCGGCTGCAGATAATGTAGCTAGATGTTGATGTTTATCTTGCATAATTTCTTTTTGACATCTACTTCTTGAAACAACTTAAGGTCAAGGTTTTTGACAAGGACTGGACGTTCAAACCGGTTGATTGTGAATGTGTTGTCGTTTTTTGCCGCAGCTTGCATGTGCGCATCATCACCATTGCAAATGTTGTTTAATTCCTGTACTTAAGTGTTGTCTTCAATGAAGCCTTCTCCTCTGCAAAATGCTTTCCTCTGCAGAAAAGTTGGAAAAACTTGTGTGGAACACACCTTGGTAGCATCAATAATTACAGGAACCCTTGTCGAACGCTATTCAACCCTATTCGTTGCTCCAATCAAGGTCTTTATGAATATACTATACAGCAGAACTGGTTTGGAATTTAGGAGCGTCCCTATCACAAGGATTTGATCCTGCAGCGTTGGCACGCAGCAGACTTCCTAAGAATTACTGTAGTTTGCAAAGTGTTTGTGGAGCATTTCTCTACAAGGAAGATACTTTTCTGAGGGCGAGAGATGTGGGAAAGAAATAGACTATATAGGTTCGCTTAAAACTCAAATTAACACAAAGTTATCACACTCTTTCCTATAAAGGAAGCTCGTTGAGGTGCCCTATATGTTACAGGAAGTCCTGAACCGCTCCTTTCCCCATCGGATTTTGGCATCACAATGCTGCAGGCAGCCTCTCTGAAGTTCGATCGTAGCCGAATGCTTCGTTCGAGGGGCATTGACGTCTTCGGCTGCGGATCCAGAGCTTCCTGCCGGAGCGATCAGAAGTTATTGGATTTCCGAGTTCTATATATAGCCTCCTTCTCTGTACATTGTCGGCCCAGTCCAAAGCGCCGTCAAGGCTCTAACCTTGTCAACGCCCACGCGCGAGTGTACAATGGACGCGATTGTAACTTGGTTCAGGCAGTTTGGTCCACCTGTTCAGAAATGCTGCAGCGACGCTAACGTCACCAATGGTCAGAAGCTCCTTCCACTGCACAAAATTTCCCTGTCATTGCTTCGCTGTAGGTTTTTTGCAGAAGCACGGTGAAACTTACAGGCAATCCACCCATTGCCCAAGACAGCAGAATAAGCTGCACGAGGCCTTCCAACACTAACGTTGAAACACTGCCTGTTTCTTCGGGCCGAAAGTTTGGAATAAGTGCCCTGCAGTAGATTTGCACCCTAAACCAATGTAAGTTGCTGCCTGCAAATCTACTGCAGCTCCTCCACGATGCAGTGTCGTTTGTCGTCAGGTAGTTTCGCCACAGTGTGGCAACAACTTCAATGCGCCACCCGATCTACTGCAATGATGTGGGGCTTGTGCCACAAGCGCCTGAGTATAAGGCAGTATGGGTCTGCACTCTCAGAGACCCTCTTTGTGAATCCCTGGTAAACCACTGGTATATTTGTTTGTTACTATTAGACAGTACATATTATCTTGCCTTTCAAAACTTGAAATCAGGGTAGCCCATCCAGCAACAAGAGCTGCAACGAGTCCGCCCTCCAATGTCCGCCCAATCCCTCACTGTAGGCTGCAAAAATGTAGCTCAATCTATGGGCGTACAATAATCTTACTATGATTGGAAGACTTCACAAGTTTGTGTTCGTCTGTTGACAGTTCTGCAGTATATCAAGCTACTACCCATCTACCTGCCGACCAACCTACCTTTAATGTTCCTTTGACGGAATAGAGTGTCCCAGTAGAATCTGAAAATGGAACCTGGGCTGGATAGTGGTTGCTGCAGTGGTTGCTTTCAATTTTCATCCATTTACCAAAAAATAAAGACTGAGTCCGCCCACCCCACGTCTCCAAGCAGTGAAGATCTGGATCCCCAGCCTTGCTTCGGCTTCGCGGCCGGCAACGGTCAGGCTTTGCATGAATATCTGTGACGTGACCATCCAAGACTTGCGGGGACACTGGTGGCTATTGGCCATGACGAAATCCTGAAAAAGTTAATAAACACTCAAAGACCCGCAACATACCTGCACCATCCTGCTGCAGCAAAAGAAGGTCCGTTAAAAATAGAAATAACAACTCAGAAACTGAGAAATATACCAGGTGCACTTTCTCGTTCCATGTATCGCTCGCACGCCTAACATCGTGCGGGAACCCCACAAGTTTTATGAAACACACCCTCACCCCAAGCAACGGCTCTTGGGTGTAGAAAAGTCACCCACCTGCACAAGTTCTATCTGCGTAAAGCGGCAGGGTATCTAGAAACCCATTGTGCATGGCCTGCACAAGAAGAAATTCCACGGAACCACGCCAATTTTGTACACAGCTCGAACGCAATGTTACACCATCAAGTTGGTAAGGAGTGACTATTCTGTTCCTCTCTTGCGTTGAAATTCCTTGGAGTCAAAGAAGAGTAGGTTTCTCCATAGGGATCTGGCAGTTTTGTTATCACTGTCCACGGCAACAAGCAGCCGAATCTCAGGTACCCCACACGGATCCGCAAATGTACCTGCGCGTAGAAGCGCGTAAGATAGACGTTGGTTCCTGACGAAAATGCGGGTCTTGGTCCAAATCAGCTGTAGCAGAGCAGGGCCTAGAATCGGCATGCCCTGAAGGAATGGCATGTGGTACAACCCGAGGAACCTTTGTCCACTTCCGGAAACGTTCGCTCGAAATTCACAAAAGTGCACCAGGAAGTCGCAAATGGTTCTTCTGGAGAAGGAGTGTCCGGATTTCCGGCTTCGGGTCTTTTACATCGTAATATATATATATACATGTTACATATATATATATATATATAGTATGTGTGTGTAAATGTATTTGTGTTTTACATGCTTGCCCGGTTCACACTCAACCCTCTGCTTTGTCTCTCTCCAGCCAAATCTGTGCACGTGTGGAGGTACCATCGAAACAAGCTTCACGGCCGGCGGTGCATGAACAGCGCTGTTGAAGTGAAGCTCCTCCATACCACCACCAGCACTGACAGCAGCTGCGTCTGCAGATGTTGTGCGTCCCCTTCCTGCTTCAAGGAGAGCAGCACGCGCACTAAGAAAGATTGCATTTGCGCAAAGAGGCTGAACTCTATTCCGGACTACTTCGGGGAGCTTCAAAATCAGGTTCATGGCGCTGCTGTACTTTGCAAATAAATCTCTAAAGGTGTGATACTCTTGGGCCCCACCCAGAGAATCTCTGTGACCTGCAACCCCTGGCAAGAGTACATCGCCTCCAGCTCTCAAAGTTCCTGGGGTAAGCACTCCAAGAAGTGGAGATCTTCAATGTGCTGAGCAAGAGGTTATAATGTCTACGGTAGGTATTCGAAGTTGCAGGATACAAGCGTTCATCTGCTCCCAGGGCCAAAAGCTGTCTCAACTGCATATGTTGCCACTTCATTTGAAGCTCGAACCTCAGCTCCAGTCTCCTCAGGCTTCAGGCTAGTGGGACCTAGGCTCGTGCAGTTTTGTCAGCCCAGAGGCGTCGAAATGATGCAATAATAAGAGTAATATTTGAGTTCCTTTCCTGCAGCAAACCAAAGATCCCATAGTTGTGTCCAAGAGATCATCAAAAACAGTTGCTGGTCTGCAATCCGAAATCAGCCGGTCAGTCGTGAGATTTCATCCAGGCGAAGCAAAATTCCTGCTCTATGGCTCGTCCGAAGCTAAGTCGGCATGAACAACGCCAGCTGAGTGGCATCAAGGGCAGCCAAAAGTGCGAGGTTTCTTTTCGAAACCGCACTTTGATGCCAGAACTACCTCATTGTAGTCTGCGGGGTCCAGAGCAAACCTGAAATGGCCCAGCCCAAGTAGATGGGGCGCGCAGGCTCTGACAAAATGTAAGCTGGGCCGCGTTCTATCGGCTGCGCTTGCCAGACCCGGTAGCAGGCACGCACGCCAAAGCTGAGCGCTCCAATGTGCTTGGAAGCAATCTTGCCTGACGTGAAAGCTCCATTTTTTCGAGACATTGGCATTGACCCCGACTCGGATGAGCCCGTCTAGCAAGGCCTCCAAGGAGTTGTCAGATTTGTCAGAGCTGCCACCATTGGATCCATCTCCTTTTTCCCCCATAGCTTCATCAAATTCAGCGCCACCCATTGCTTCAGTGGTCTTTCTTAGCCGGAGTGGCTTTGGGAAGATCAGGAAGGCGAGGCTTTCCCGTTGATGCCACTCGGTCCTCTAACTGAGCCGCAGGAACGCCAGCCCTGGGCCGAGCGCCCGACAATGCTGCCTTAGCTGGTGAAGTCGCCACTGAAGGCTGCAGTTTTTGCATCGTCGCCAAATTCTCCAGCAGCTGTTCCCGGATGCCTGAACACTGTGCGAGCTAGGGCTGCGACGTTCGCTTCAACCAGGCTGGACGCAAGAGGCAAAAAAGTCAATCCTCATCAAAAGGAACTGCCACTTCGCTGCCCAGGTCGGATGAAATGGAATCCCAATAGTCCTGAGCCAGCACTATTTCACACGCAACTGGTTCTGACAAAAAGGAACTGGGAGCTATCAACACTGGAACTTCTCCAACGCAAGTTATGGCAACCCGCACTGGCAACCCAGTCAATGAAGCCCCACAAAAAATGCCCGAGGACGTCGGCCGCAAACATCGGTTCCCCATCTTCTCCTTCCATCTCTGACATCAGGCAGGCCAAGTCAAGCCGGCCTACTGCACCTTACCCTCCCACTGCGAAGAAATCACTGGACCGTAAGCCTTTCCGTTGATGTTGCGGACCAGCACGTAGATCTTTGACGGAAGGCTCACCTGCTGGCGGCCATGATCCGCACGATCGGCGGAAATAGTCCCCAATGCTCTGAGCTATCTCCTGCCTGCATTCCTTTGTGTATTGAGAGGTTGCGATACGCCCAGAAGGGGCAGTACCAACAGGCAACTCAGGTAGTTAGACTGGAGTGCTCAACAGCAGGTGCAGCTGGGGTGCTATCCGCAGTGGTAGGGTGATAGGTGACCGTAACAGGCAAAAGTGTAGCGAGACTGAGGTCTGATCGGGGAGCAGTCGCGTGCTGTTCCAAGGCACCAACCCTCTGTTCAAAAGCCACGAGCTCACTCCTGAGCGACGCTCATGCAAGCGGAGCCCGAGCCACCTGCCACTCCTGATCCAGAACTGTTGATTCCGGAGGAGCTGGAAACTCAGAGCGGCCCTCAAGACGATCACTCAACAGCCTGCCTTAAAATCAATCCAATCAAAGTGCCAGCCAATGAAAGGTGACTTCCTCGCAGTAACAGCCGAAGCCAGTTGGGTCACGGAAAAGCGTGGACACGGTCGCCGGACGTCGCCGGTATCAGGCCGGATTGAGCAGCCTGTGATTGCACCAGGCTCATTCACTAGAGCCACGAAAGAGCTGCTGCCGGAGAAAGCGTGAAAGTCATATGTGGCGAGAAAGAGGTCTTTTCTCAACCTCTCTTGGGCTTTTGATTGATCCAATGCAGTGTCGTATTGATGGATGTATGAATTGTGACTCCTATGGTCTCTCCTCTTGGCCCCCCAGATCCCCAGCACAGAATCCCTCCGCACAGTAACCTCAAAAGCACTCGCCATCCCCTCCGCAAAAGCATGTATGCTTCCTGCAAAAACGGAACTAAAAACACCCCAAATACAGTGCACAGGGGGCTGCCTGAACTCTTCGAACCAAGGAGCCCTTCAACGTGCAAAACTGTTCAGCCAAATGAATAAACGGTTTTTCCCAAACCTTGATTGGGTGAAAATGATCAAGATAGCACCTCCCCAAGGTGGGGCTCGCAGAGGCGGTTTTCAAAGCTATTTGTGAAAGAACCTTAGGCAATCTGCGTCTTCTTCGAAAGTTACACGATGGGCATAACAAAAGACCTGTTTCGTCATGAAAGAAAGAAAGAAAGAAAGAAAGCTGGACAATCGAAAGTCTCCGCCAAATACTCCAAGTAAATAGTAAACACTATCTTGAATGATGCTGGTGATCACATATACAGAGTCCAAGTTCTGTTAGCTTGTGAAGGATCAATCAAGAGAATCTGTGGCGTTACTGAGCTTCCAAGAGCTGCCCCACAGCACGCCCAGCGCACCAGAACATGGCAAGCCCGGGCGCTGTCGCATCTAAGGAACGGACCCATGCCTCAGGAAACACAAGCAGGAGGTCTACTCAGTCTACTCGCGGAACAAAGGCACCTTCTTGTTTGGCCTTTTCCATTTGTAGAGAAGCAGCGATCCATGTGACAGCCGGGATGCATTGGCTTGGATATCTTACAGACATAAATCACAAATGAGGCCTATTGCGTATCTATTGTAGTTACAGTTTGGATAGCAGGATAGCAATGTTCATGCCAGTTTCAAGCAGGCAAAAATTGATTTTAGATGTTGGGCAGAGGGGGTTCATCAGCTTGAGAAAGAGATGCGGCGGCCCCCGACCTAAATCATGCGAGCTGTAAAAAGGAACAGCTCCTGTCACACTTGCTTTACCGTCAGCAAGCAGCTCCATGTGATCGTTGAGAAGGTGCTTCATCAACGCCCGTCTTAGGACCTACGAGCGATGGCCTCCAACCTACTAGAGATTGGTACCAGCTGGTGGACCAGTTGGTGAAAAACTGTGGGGGCCGACAAGGACCCCCACGCCCATGCCATAGGCACCCGCGAAGCCACAACACGAGCCCAGCCTGAGCTGTGAGTCAGCGCCGGTCCGATCCAGTAAGAAGAAAGACGCAAAACCGAGAAGCTTTGGTGGATTGCATGATCAGCAGCAATTGGTCTCTCATTAGCTAACCTTTGAACAAATTGCACTAAAGAGAAATTGAAGTTTACTGAAATGCCTTTTGGACATGGTGTCCTCCTGGTGACTCAAGCGCCGGCCCAGTCCAAAATTGGGAAGGCAAAACCCTTGGCAATGGTGAAAACCGATCTGAGACTGAGAATATCCCCGTATTCTCAGTAAACATGGGGGGCCATGGACGAGCAGTCGGAGGTGGAGGCGAGCAGTCGGATTCTTGAATATCCCATAACACTTTGAGAGGCCGTGTGGTCAACGACCGCAAACTTTGGATTTCTAGTAAAAGTGGAAATGTTCAACCCCACCCATCCGTGCACGGAATTCCGTCATCTTCCATCAGTCCAGGCACAGAACTTGGCTCCCTTCAAAGCCCCAATACACGGCCGTGCCTACGATCACGGCAGCCTCTGGATGTCGGGGCTGTTGACAAAGAAGTCCAGCAAGCAAGAAGTGGATCTTAATCGACTCCCCTTGTTGAGGGAGGGAGATCCCTCAAACAGAATTGCCAGATCAAGGGATTTTCAGGCACCTGAATGCCACCGCACATCAACGCAACTCCCTCACCTGGCACATCACTGTGAAAATGGAGAAGATCTGCAGATGCCACGCTTCTGCCTCTGCAGGCTGCAGGAACAAGGCATGCTGTCCAAGATTTCGAAAATCCACTAAAAATACACTAGGAATCACTAGGAATACTAAAGTCTTAAGACAATGGAATCAAAGGTATTCATGAGAACACAAGTCATCTCTGCGTTGTGGTACAAACCCATCCCATCTCCACTTCATCAGCAGGGCCGGAGGAAATTTGTCATTCTTGGAAGATGATCCCCATAACAGTCATCATTCTGCTGAGTCTACTTGAGAACGACTCTGCCTGCCACACTCTACTTGCAGGACAACTCTACTACAAACGTGCAAGAAGTCACCCGCGTTGTGGCGGCACATCCCAACAGGCAGGTTCTTGTTCTCTTCGCACGCCCAATTGGACCTCCCTGTCATCCCCATCCGACAAAAGACATTCCAAAACCTTCCACGAGGTCCTGGACTGTTCATGAAAAAGTTTACGCAGTGCCACTGCCAAAGGTCGAGAAAAGACTCCGTTTCAGAACAAAAATGTTTTGGTACACCCAGTTTTGTAAGATTGTATGGTGCTGTTTCGAGATAAGATCGGTGAGTAGCACACGAATTCTCGAAGTCGAAGCCTCCTGTCCAGCCTCGAAGCGTGCGGCAAAGGCGGCCGCACAAGCCCTGGCAACCACGATCAAACGCGCGGCCATCGAAGGGTGCGCAAAAGATCCGATCTGGCAGAGATCTTTACGATGGATATCGATCACATTCGATCACCCAGGTACACCGCTGATTGACAACTGGATATGGATGGCGTCCCTGAAACTCAAAAGGGAATTGTGGTGCTCCTCCTGAGAGTGGAATTGGAGTGTCCTTCAAGACAGGACTGTCAATGGGGAGGTAGAAGACTCATGGTCTGAGCCATGCACAGAGCCAGCGTGAACAAAGCTTTCCACAGCTGTGGCCCGTCCTCAGGCATCGGGCACAAGGATTCAGGATCAACCATATATATATATATATATATGCTACCCCCCCCTGTACCTACTTTTAGCCCTTGTTGGCAATGTGGATTCCAGACCATGGGTGCATTGCTTGATTCTGTAAGGTTTTGCTCTTTTTGCAAGTGGTATGACATTGATAGGATTGTGAAACCTGTGTTTTTTTGCTCTATGCGCAAAAAGTGAACCATATTGATTCTGTGAGCGACAAAACAAAAGTCCCGTGCGTCAGTCACGCACCATTTCTTGAGCCAAAACGCGAGTGGTCATTTGACCGGTTGACACCTTTCATGGTGACTGCACATCGAAAATCACATGTCCCACACTCCCCCCACTGGCAGTGCCAGTACACATAGGAGGTTCATCAGTAGGTTTTTTCTTCTACTGCTGCTCCGGGACAAGTTCGAAACTCCCAGATGAACGGGAGTTTCGAATCACTCACATTCAACCGCTCACTTCGTTCAGCAGACTTCTCAATGCCCATCCACATGGGCAAGGAGTCTGCCTCAGGTGGCAGAAGATTCTCCAAAGCCAGAGGTGCATCGCCAGCTCGCTCGGTATTCTGCACTTCACCCCTTTGAATGCAGCCATCCAAGCACGCCGCATAGCCACTGCCACCCTCATACTCCACAATGTCTCGTGCACTGACTTCCACTGGACCAGGCAAACCCGGCGGAAGACCAAAGCCATCTTGTCGGGCCATCGCCGCAGCTCCCCGTTCCACAGCTGTGGACTGTAGAGGATCAGCGCCTCCATAGCCCGCTCGATCCCTCTGGATGGAAATGCCTGGAGTCGCAGGCCGCTGCTCCACTTCCTCTCGAAGCCCTTGCCCATCACCGGAGACGAAGCGAACATAGAAGAAGCTATATCCAACCCATTCATACACATTCTCCACATCGCAGTTGCGAGACTCGGTCCAGTCGTCAGTGACCACACGACGGCGCCACTGCTGACGAGTACTCTCCCTGCTGAAGACGACAGATACCCTTGTGGTTGACATTCTCGCAATCATGAAGGGGGTTCCCCGATGCAGGGGATGAAAAGCCCTCACCCTTTTCTTCTTCAAAACTCTCACCCACCATTCACCAGCTCCATTGCCCGAGCCCAAGCACTCCCAGCGATCAGCGCCCGTTGGCGGAGTGGCAAACCTGTCCAACTCCCAGGGGGTGTCGGTTTCCAGTCCTCGGTGAGTAGTCGGCACCTTCATTGCACTCAGGCGCAATTCAGCGCTATTCCATGGCGGACAAGGCGCGGAGGCACGGGTGCCAAGCTGGCAAGTGTCGAGACGACGATCGACGACCGAACCTACCTGCCTGATGTCCAATTCCTTTTCACGGACCAGCCTAGCAGGGTCGGGTTCATCTTCCCTCGACCATCTTCTTTCTTCTTTTGATTGGGATGGGTTAGACCTCTTTGTTGACTGGCCCTTGGCCGTCTCAAAAGGTCCACAGGCAGTCGATGCTGCCAATGCTGCAAGACCGACCAAGGAGGCCACTCTGGCTGTACTATCTACACCCAGAACTACCGCGAGAAGCCCCAGCGAAGCCATCACTGCATAGGCAATCTTCTTGACAGACGGGACCACAGGTTCACCAGCTTCACTCGCTGTCGTCCGAAGACCTACGGCTCGCCGAAAGGACTCCCACAAGGACTGCTGGGTAATTGACTTCGTCAGCAAGTCCGCACAAAGCTCCACTCCAGGGACATGTTCCACATCCCACAGATGATGGCGAAGTCGTTCCCGCAGTACATGACTTCTCAATCTCAGGTGTCTTGTACGCCACGGACCCGATGGAGCTTGCAGCAACTGCAGACCAGACATGTTGTCTCCCCTTAAGGTGTAGGATCCTTCACGATCCAGTGCGTTGTCCTGAGGACGTTGATCACCGCGCCAACACTCTCCCCCATGGTAAGGCCGTCGACATAGCCCAACAATTCACTCTCGGTGGTGCTTAAGGTAGCAAAGGCTTGGACTCCCATGTAACCAGGCAACCACCCCACATCGCCATGAGGCCTTGATGTCCCTTTCCACCCGCCGGCGCGAACGATGAGTCGGTGAGGATGTCGAGCCTTCCCATGCTCTGCACCCTGCCATACTGATCTGCTGCTTCTGAACACGGGCCAAAGTCCAAAGCGAGGTCCACAGTGCCCGCCCCAAGTAGCCCAAAACATGTTGCGACAGCTCCAAAACACCCTTTGGAGCCTTGGTCACCTTAGCCCCCAACCAGGAGACTGCACAGCCTGGTTCTCGTTGCCAGCCACAACAACTCACCAATTACAGTTTGACACTGCCTCACGTCCTCAGAACAAATCACCTCCTCCATTTCCAGGTCGATGATCTTGGGCAGCGGTGAGGACCTCAGAGTGAGGTTCTTGCGCCGATTCACAATCTCCCTGGCATAGTCCGGTTGACCTACCAGCAAAGTTGCGCCTTCCCATCTCATCTCAACACCACAGAACTTTCTCCATTCTGTGTCCACCACCCAGGTAGGAGAGGCACGTTGAAGCCAATTTGGCAAGAAAGGCATTTGCCACCTGTTTCTGACCCATCACAATGAAGTCATCCACGTACGACAGTGCAAAGCCCCTCACGCACCCCTCATCCATCACATTGACGTAGTCATCCTCTCGGCCCTGAGCCGACATGAGTCTCCACACATTTGGCTCCGGAATGGCATTGATCCAGTAGTGAGTTCCATTTTCCCACCACCTCATGCCCCGAAGAACATCATCACGATAGGCTTGCCAATCAGCAGGAGAGCTGTCCAAGCCATAAACCGCCGCCTCCACCACCCATCGGGTGTCCTTGGACATTAGACCAGCTTCCACTAAGATAGACGGAGGTTTGGTGACCATAAGGCGCGACGACTTCGAGGTGCCAGGAGGAACGCTGAGGAAACATCAGTGGTGCCAATCGCCCACTGCTCCTGAGCTGCCTTTCGCAGAGCACATCTCAGCGAGCTTCCATCAATCCCACTGGCATAGTGCTCAAAAGATCTTCCTGACTGTCTCGAGCCACAATCACCTTTCTCCGTCTGCGGATCAGCATCCTGAGCCCGAGACTTCACTGAGGTGTCCTCCACCAAATTCCCGCAGAGGACAATTCGAGATCTTTTCGGGGCCTTCACCGTCGGGACAAGCTTCGAGGGGACCACAAGCATCTCGTTGTAGCCCTGAACCTGAACCGGTCTCACGGCCCGAGTTGTCTTCTCCAGTGAGTTCACCTCATACTCCAAGGACGGTGTCCAATCCTTCAGCTCCTTCCGAACCTGGGCCAACGGTACCGTGTATGATTGCACCTCTTCCTTCGCCACCATCATTGCAGCTGCCCTATACGTCAGGTTCCCATCTGCAATCTCGGTCAGCATATCCTCCAAGGCCATAGCATTCTTTTCCATATAGTCCAAAGTAGAACCGTGCAACCGACCTTCTTCGTCCCCCACGGCCACCTCCTTTGAGAGATCACACCAAAGCCTTTTCCACCTCCAGTGTTCCTCCTCCAGATGCTGTGCGAGATCCAAGGCGTCCTTGAGGTCACATGGCATCGTTCCATCAACCACTCCTTCCTGCGCCTTCTCCATGGGTGTTTCGCAGAAGTCGCACTGATTGCATGGACCCAATTTTCTCATTGACTGCTTTGGCATTTGGAGACCACACTCCTTGCACACCCTTTCATCGCCTGTGGACCCTTCTCCAACTCCAACCGATGTTGTAGGCGACGAAGAAGATGACATAGACTCCCCCCAGTCCAAACATCCGTGAGGACTGGTCCATCTCCCCCGGAACCATCATTCAGCGAGCGTAGTCCAGGGTCTGGTAATCTACGTGGTGGAGGAAGTCGAAGAAGTACAGGTTCCATAGGCTGCTTACCAGTCAAACGCCTTAGTGGCTGATCCCTTTCAGCTTGAGGGTCTGTTGATACTGCCACTCTTGCACGCTGAACTTGACCATCCTCAAACAGCACATAGCCCTGTGTCATGAACGGCGAGGGTCCCATCAAGGTCATAGTTCGACATGGCGGGGTAAGCGGACCAAAACCTGCTCGATGCCAACGCTTCGACTTCACAGTGACTCTCCCCCCAATTGGCAAAAGCGGAGGGCTTGGAACCCCCAGCTTCCTGCACTGATGCCGAAGACGTTCTTCACCAACATAACGAGCAACTCCTGGCCACCATTTCTCCTCCAATCCGCTCTCCTTGATGAGAAGCCTCAATCTTCTTTTCACTTGATGTACTTCACTTTCAATTCTGCCATTTGAAGGTCCTTCATCTCCTCCCGTCATGGTTTGATAAAGGCCAAACTTCCTGCAGAAAGACTGAAATGCCCTCGACAGAAATGCACACTCTCTGTCGGTGTGGACCCTCAGCATGTTCACCCCCAATGGCCTTGAACCGGCAGTATATCCGTGTGGCTGTCCTGGTGACATCCAGTTGAGACCGACTTCCCAAAGGCTCCACCACGGTGATGTTCTGAACTCCCACTGGTTCACTGAGGTCCTTCACGTGATTCTTCCAAGCCGCATTAAGGTCTTGGACCTGCTCCTCCATGACCGGATCACTGGGGCGCTCTTCATCGCCAATTGGAAGAGGTTGACCTTCTTCCCCCGGAAGTTCTTCCTCCTCCTCCTCAGTGTCCTCCTCCCTGGGCAACTTTGGGACCGCAACTGTGGTAACCATAATGTACTTGACCTTGGTCCCCATTCCCACATCTTCACCCTGCGGCATTGGTCCCAGGATGTCGTAGGACAAACAGTGTGCTGCCTTATCACCCAGGCCACGTCGGTGTGGAGCGTCAATTCCCATCATCTCCATGCATCGCCAACAGTCTCGACGGTATGGTCGATGCTGTGATTTCGAACATGTTCCTTCCAACTCTCACTGTCCAGTTTGGACACCTTTGATTCAGCTTCACGCTCATGTGATTCACCAAGTTCATGTGCATCCAATACCTGATGAGGCTCTCCTGAATCGCC